TTATTTGGAAGCAGCCACCTCAATCAGAAGAGGACACTGGGCTTGAAACCTCCTACATATGGTGGGAATCTCCAGTGTTTGGGATTGGCCTCACCACTCCCATGGCAGCCATTTTGTTGTGGTGCCTGTTCATCTGTTCTCAAATTCTAGAATTGCTCATAGGCTCAACAAGGCTCAAGAACCCGGTGTAAAGACACTTGACCTGGTGTAAAGACCTGGCGTAAAGAGACCCAGTTTGGTGTAGTGGTTAAGTGCACAGACTTTTAGAACCAAGTTTGAGTCCTCACTCCTCCACTCGCAGCTGCTGGATGACCGTGGGCAAGCCATAGTTCTGTCAGAGGTGTTTTTGAAAAAGAGCAGTTTGTGTCAGAGTTCTCTCAGCCCCACCCACCTCACAGGGTGTCTGTTGTGGGGACGGGAAGGGAAAGGAGTCTGTAAGCCGCTCTGAGACTCCGAGTGAAGGGCGGGGTATAAATCCAATCTCTTCTCTTCTTCTTCTTGATTGGTCAGGGGCCTGTTTACCAAGTATGGGCTGATTTTGATTCTTTAATGGAGTGAAAGAGGTCTAGAAATTCCACATGGATGTGGTGCTCCCTGCGTGCAAAGATCTATCACAAGGGCTACCACCACATTCATTTCAACTGAAATAGAATTAGTATGTGTTGCACAGAATACTCCAGGTACCCACAAGAGTATATGCAGTGTTCTGGATCAGAACACCAGTAAAGATGTAACAGCTTCATGAGGGAGAAGGGTTGATATTTTCACCATCTACCATGTTTGTTTAGATCAAAATATCAGCTGTGCATGATAAGGACTATTTTCATGTAGTACATCCTCTAATTGTATTTTTCCGTCCCATAGAAATAGATGACAAGAGAATGAACAACAACTCTCAAGCAGAAGTAAGTTAATTATGGGGGAGGGAGGAGGCTAATCCTCCGGAACTGCTGAGCATAGATTTTGAAATACGCTAAATCTTTTTGTCTTTATTGGATTGCATTAGATTGTAATAATAATTGTGGGGTTTTTTTCTTGTTAACTTTTTTATTTTTAAAAACAAAACATACATGAAGACAAAACTAACATAAAAGAGGGGAAATTATTCGATTGTAATAATAATTGTTGAACTGTGTCTCAGAGTGAGCTGGTGTGAAATCAGAGAACTGCTAGCATGTCACAAAAAGTAAACACTTTAATTATATAAGCACATGGATTCAACCCCCCCATTGCATGGAAGATGGCATGTGACAAGACTCTGCGTAATCCCTGGCCTTTCCTCATAATTTGGAGCTCATTTTACCCATCTCCAGTGTTCCCTCTAAGATGAGTTAGTGTGAGCTGGCTCACCGTTTTTGAGCCTCTGGCTCACACATTTTTGTCTTGGCTCAGGAAGGACGGCTCCAGAGCAAACTGGTTTATCCAGCAGCCAAATCTCTTGCTCACAACTTTAATGCCAGTAGCTCACAAAGTAGAATTTTTGCTCACAAGACCCCACAGCTTAGAGGGAACATTGCCCATCTCTGCAGCATCTACATCTGGATCATTCAGCCATTTGCAGTACTGAAACAGTAGAATGATTTCCCCTCTGAAAAGGTTGTCCATTGCTTCCTTCCAATCAGATGGCCCACTCAGAAACTGTCCATTGTTGAGAAACTTCTGGCTAACATGGGAGCTATTTCATAGCCATTTGGAAATTGAGATTCCTACTATTGGATTGTTTGAAAAATACCACCACAACACAGAATTTTGATAAAGAACTCGAAACGAACTCTGGAAACTCGAGATGTTCGTCATTTGACCTATGGAATAAAAGAAGAAATTCGAAATAATACATCAGAATAAGCCTACATTTGATTGTCATTGCTCTGTAATTTTTGAACTTATTGCAGCAATTGCATGATTTGCCACTCAGAAACTGACAGCCGGAGTGCTTTCATAGAGAGATATCCCCCAGCATGTCCCTACCTTTTGAAGGAGCCTCCATATTATGTCAAGCTCCTTTGGGGCATGATGACTCAGACAGATTCCGCAAAAGCAGTTGCTCCACCCTTTTTTTTAGGATCAAGAAGATATGGGGGAAATTGGGGCGGGGATGCGGGTCAAAATGTGGTCGTGCAGCAAGTAGTGGGAAATTGAGCAGTACAACCGGGGGGAAACAGGAGACCAAGGGTGGAACAACTGCTTTTGCAGAATAATTCTTGTGAGGCTTCTGGAACACTCCACTTGAATCTGGAGCAGAGGAAAAAACCCTTTGTTCCAGCTTTAAAGGGAAATGGTGCAGAGCCTCCAGTGTGAAAGTCATGCCTGAAGCCAATCTAGATAATGGGTTGGAGTTTAGGTCTGCCTTCAAAATGGCAGCGCTAAACTCCATTTTATCTCCCCCCCCTTCAACTCTTTAGTGGGGATTTCCATCAGCAGAGTAATATTTTCTCCCCGCCCCTTCAAAATGTCCCCCAAATCCTGCTTCTGGGGTACGGGGGACCCCCCCCCAACAATAGCAGGAGGATAGAATCAGGGATAATCCTTCTGTCAGTGGAAACAGCTGGTGGAATCCAACCTTGTATTTATTAACATGGAAGCCCTATGGAATTCAGAGCTTATTTCTGATTAAAACATAAACTCAGCACTGAATCAGCCCTTAAATGCACAACACCATTGTTTTCTTCCACTTTGTGCTCTTTTGTTGTGTTCCAAATCTCTTTCCTGTTCAGCAGAGATACAGACAAACAGGCATTGCTTTAAATAGCAATGTATAGTATTGATTCCCCCCCCCCTCGGATTTAGCTCCCAAACATTTAAAAGCATTCAGTGATGAGACTCAACTTCTTGTAATGCAATAAATATAATTAGCACTTTCTGAATGTACCTAATCTTTTATTCATAAATAGCATCTTTCCATCCATTACCATTAAATATTACGAACTGCTTAAATATATATATATATTTAATTCACGCGCACATACATACGTTCATACATATTAGGTCTTACTGATATATCTGCTAAATCTTCATTGATTAAACTCAGCATTTTAAAAATATATCTCTTGTGTACCAGAAATAGAGTAGTTTTTAAAGTGGAGACTATAAAATAGTATTAAATTCTCTGATCTCATGATGGTTACATGGGATTGGGTGAATTTGCAGACCTTCTCTGATGCTGCAAAACTGACATTTTAAAATCCTTTCATACCATTCAAGCGATATTGGCGGTGTTCTGTCATTGGACAGGTCTTTTAAAATAATAATTTAGTATGTTTGACACAAAGATAACAAAAATGTGATGTTCCAGTGGTATCAGCTCCTTATAATAAGAATTTCGTGACTTGATATAGAAAGAAGCCATTCGAAGAATATCCTCAACATCCCAAAATATGTGTCCTACCATTTGTTATGTAATCCCAGTCAACTGTCCACTGAAATGGTATCTAGAGTTTTTCTTAAGTGGAAGACAGCTCGACTGCCTTGTGTGCCCCATTTTGGCAAGAACCATCCATTTGCCAACACAATTCTAATTGATAACGGGGTGTGTGTGTGTGTGCTTCAGCCCTGGTCCTTCTTGCATGTGCGTAGAAGCTATGGCTGTTAAGAGGAGGTGTGTCCCCTCACTCCCAAACAGCCAACCAGGATTGTAACAGGTGGCTTGACTGAGGGTGCATTCAGACGGCTCCTCCCAAAGCAAGTTACTCTGTTCTCATCTCGTTCATTTTATCCTCACAACAACCCTGAGAGGTAGGTTCGGATGAGACTGTGTGAGTGGCCCAAGATCAACCAGCAAACGTCTGTGGCAGAGGTGGGATTCGAACTCGGGTCTCCCAGATCCTAGTCCATCACTAACCACTGCACCACACATTTGTTGTTTCTCCAGTAGTGGAAATCAAGATTGTAAGCTTATTGGCGACAGGGGCTCCCCCCCACCTAAAATTTGCTTAGGAGGACACTCATTAAAATGTCATGTACATCAATGAGACCTTACAGCAAGGATAGAAACAAAGAAGAATGTCTTAGGGTACGTTCAGATGGCTCTTTAGATCCGCGCGAGGCACGGGTGCCTCATGGATTTAAATGTAATGTTCAGACATCGACCTCTGGGAAACGTTCGTCTTCCGTGAGCTTCCCGTTTTGCTGCGCCTCGGAGCCATACTAAAAAGACACTACTTTAAATCTGGAGTTTTCGGTTGCGATGGGCCACTCGCAGACTTTCTCCCATCTGATCGTTCCAGCGTGCAATTAAAAACGGTGCCCGTTCGGGATGGTCTGATGTCAGACCATCCCAAACAGGCGCCATTTTAAAAAAAATCTTGATTCTGTGCATGCGTGGATAAACAAGGCCGTGATATCATGCCTATGCACATGCGCAAAAAGTTTTTTGTTTAAAAAACCCCACCGTGTGTGCCTCCTTCAGTGGACGCCATCTAGACAGCGCGCGGTAAGGCGATTCCCCCGGGGGATGTCTGGTCGTGCGAGGATGAATTTAAAAGATCGGGATCAAATTTGAGCCGGCATAATGGTGGGATTAGCTTTCCGTCTGAATACACCCTTTGTGATGCATGCATAGCTGTCCGTCTGAACGCACCCTTTGTGATGCATGCATAGCCCCAGGGGCTGGAGCAGGCCAGAAAGGGCAGGTATGGTAGTTCCCATCTAGTGAGGACACAGGTTTGTTCCAAAGGCAAATGCCAGGACTGGAGCACACATCTGTTATTTGTGTGTGTGTGTGTGTGTGTGTTGTGTGAGATGGATACCAATCAACCCTTGGTTGGCAAAACTTAATTTTCGCTTTGTGCGAGGGAGGCAGAGAAGATTGTGAGTGTTGAGCATAGAGGCATTCATGTGGCTTTTTCAGGTTGTAGGGCACATTGGTGAGTACAGTAGGGAGACCTAAAGCAGGCTCTTGTAGTTGCTCACTTGCAAACAATCCAGTGATTACAGAGTACATGTGACAATCCATAATCTCTAACCATTCGATGAAGGTAGTTAAAGTTCCTCACTCCACGAGCCAAATGCTTCTTTCTGGATCTTCTCTTTGTGTTTATTTTTTAAAACAGGCCCCAGACCAGGGACACAAATGATGGATTATACAGAAACAAAAATGACATATTCAAACAAGGCCTACGTTCATTTGATGATTCAAGGCAGCTGGAGGGAAAATCCCCCTCCAGCCCCCTTTGCCTACTGCGCCTTCATCCCATAAACTGCTGCTTCTCCAACATTATTCAAGAGAGGTCGTCTTCTTTCCAGATATGTTGATCCCAGCCAATAAGGGATCACCTAATGAGCAATGTCATGACATCACAACACTGTGTGACCAACCAGATTTGACTGTGTAATGACGCCACAAGGGCAATTGAATGAGAGAGGGCAATGATCCGTAGATCAGCCTTTCCCTTTCACTCTGAACGGGCAGACACTTTCATCCCGTTTCGGACTCGCTCCCACCCCAGATTACCATAAAATGGGGAACACATTTTATTGCTGAGTAATAAAAAGTGGTGCCTCCCCTCAGTTTGGTTCAGTCCTAAAGGAAACTTTAACAGAATAAATCAGGACCCCCAGTTTGTTGCCTATGGGTGCCATGAAACCTTCTGACGCCTTTCCTGGGACCCACCAAGTGTTTTTAGACAGTGGCGGAGATCTGATGGGCTGTGCAGATTAAAACAACATTTCGGCAGGAGCTGCCACCACCATGTGGTTTATATTCTCTCTCACACTCCTCTCTCCCACTAGGCTTAAAAAAAAAATGCTCCTCATGTCCTCTGCACTTGGGCTTCATCTGTGTGTGTGGCTCCACCTCCCACAGCGGCCATTTTGTGATTGTGCTCACCAGCCTGTATCAGAATTCCAAAGATGCCCAGAGGCTCAAAAAGGTTGGGAAACACCCCCCCCCCCAGAATAAAGCAAGCTAGGTTAACAGGGCAGCCGGAATAAATGCTCGTTACGTTTAATAAAGTGTGCTTATTTCCTTATTCTCAGTTTTCTTAAAACGTCTTTGTTTTGTTTTATTCATAGTCACAGAATGCCTCCCCAAAACAAAGGAAGCAGAGTGTCTATGCCCCTCCAGCCATGAAAGGTACTGTCCAGGTACTGTTTCTTATAAAGCTAAGGCCTAGTTTTTGTCCATGACTTTTGTGCATGGCTCAGTGCCATTATCACCGGATCATAATGTAGACGGCAAAGAGGCACTTGGCCATCCATGGATCATGAAATTTCTCCAGGAAAGATGGGCCACAGGTCGGAGATGTGGTCTGTCTCAGAGGCTCTCAAGGGCAGCTCACTGTTCTTGCATCCACTGGTTGCACGGGGTGGTGGTGGTGGTCAGGTGGGCTGTCGCCTCGTTTTCTGTTCCTAATTCTGACAGCCACTTAAACTGGCAATAAAATAATCGTGACCCCATCATGTAATGACTGATGATGCCATTCCTGTGATCTCTCAACATAGACCTGATAGAAATCAATGTAGCATGTTTGGATTATTGTGACTGGGTGAAATGACCAGGAGAAGAAGATAATGAATGAACTTATCTAATAAAGTGAGAAACGTCTTTGTTTACACTACAGGGGTAGTGACGGTGTTAGGGCTGCCAGCTCCAGGTTCAGAAACACCTGGAGATTTGAGGGTGGAGCCTGGGAGAGTGGGATTTAGGGAAGGGAGGGGCCTTGGTAGGGTATCATGCCATGCAGTCCATCTTCCGAAGTGGCCATTTTCTCTAGGAGAAGTGGAATAAGTGTTGTATTGATTAATTAATTACCCAATAAGCAATTCGTGCAGTCTGGACATGTAATTCCAGAAGATCCTCAGCCCCCACCTGGAGGTGGCAACCCTAAGAACTATCTTGTGCTGTGTTACTCCAGTCTAAACCCATTCATGTCAATGGGCCTAGACTGGATTGCACTGTGAATGCTACGGGCCCAAAGCAAGTCCTCGTGTATTCTAAGATGTGTGACATCATTCCAGAGGCCTGGAACCCACAGAGGATTTCCATTGATGGGAAGGGGAGATTTTCACAGCCCCCACCCCCCGCAGAATTCTAATTCCTTTGCCCATGCTGTTCCTGAGCCACCTTTTGCATGGGAGCAATGTTTCGGAAGGTAGTTTGGCATGCAGCGTTCTGTGGAAGCCTCTTGTGGTCCTAGATTTCAGTCCATCAGACATTTATCTGCCTGTATCTATCTACCCACCTACCTCTCTACCGCAATTCGTATCTCAGCCTTCACTTGGGGACCTCAGGGCAGCTTATATGGGGTTTATTCCTCTGCATCCTCTCAAGAACCCCATAAAGCAGTTGTGATAATGCAGTGGACTTTATGGTCAAATGGTAACCTGAACCCAGGTCTTCCCTGCCTGAACACAATATTGTAAGCTTTTGGAGCTAGAATTACAGTTTTGATTTGAGCATGTCTTTTACTGATACTGTTGTATGTATGCACACAAAGCAGACACCCTCCCTTTTATGGTCCCAGACCCAGAAAGCTCCTCTGTCCGCTGTGCTTATACACAGAGAATGGTTTTGCCAAAGACAATACCCAGGCACGGGTAGTAAATCTTAGTTCTCATGTCAGGAACAAAGTAGACGTGACAGCATCCATGAGTCTGACCCGTGGACTCCATTTTTAAGCGTTTTAAAAATGCCGTGAGGGCCCAGTGCTGATTGGCTTGCATCATAGTGGGCTGAGGCATGCTGGGCCTATAACCTGTTGGGTTAGCTGGTATAGTTAGTCCAGTAACCACGGACTATGTAGCAGAGTGCATAAAGCTTCCAGCGCAGGAACGCCTCCAACCAGGGCCATCGAGAGGGGCTGTCGGAAGTGAAGGCGCTGTCCCTCGCCTCAGCCTCTGCTCTTGTCCCCGCCCCCCCATGCCTTTTCAAATGCCCTCTTGCAGCTGTTTTCCAAGGCATGGCGGAGGGAACAAGAGTGCCTTGCCCCTTTCAGGACTGGGACCTTGCAGTCTCTTAAAACCACTTTGAAATGGTAGCGGCGCCCACAGGTCAGACCCCTGGACGCCGTCATGTCTAGTTCTGCCAACTGTCTTAAAAAAATCAAATTCTTATCAAGAAGGTGCAGTAAGCGGTGTGCTATCTTGTATGAGGTTGAGACGGAAAGAGCAGCGTGTCTGTCGGGGCTTCCATGTACTCTGTGAAGAAGCAGAGCGGCTGCCTTCCAAAGAGATGGAGCGCTGGTTTGTCTGTTCCTGTGCTTTCCATTTTGATTGGCAGCAGCTCTCCCAGGTCTCAAGCAGAGAAAAAGTCTTTCCCGCTGTCTGCTGCCTGTAATTCTTTTGCCCGGAGATGCGGAGGTCTGAGCCCAGCATCTGCTGTATGCACACGGTTTGCTATACTACTGCCTCCACATTATGCATTGCATTTCCCCTCGGGATATTATGTACAGTGGGCTGTCATTTGCAAGAAGGACACTTATCCATAGATCTAGTATAATCCCACCATAGAACCGACAGCCCATTTCCCTCCCTCAATTTCCCTCGTTCTGTGTTTGGATTTGTGTTACAACCCCCCATCCCCCACCCCGCACATAAACTCAATCCAGCAAGCCGGAAACGTCTTTCCCTTCTGTGCCTGTGTGTGTTTTACTGGAATGCACCGTGCCGGAAAAATCAATCTGAGTGCTATCGATTGCAAAGATCGTCTCTCGAGCAGCAGCCGCCAGATAACCATTCAGGAGAGGATCCTCGTGAAGATTATGTTTCTGGGCCTAATGGATGTCGGGAGACAGTCTCTCCATTTTGCTCTTGAAAAACTCTCTTCTCCCCAGTGGTGCTGACGGGATGCGGACGTATCGTGTGTGTGCTCAGCAGGCCCATCAGCTGGGAAGTCTGGTTCTTTCGGTCCGATTACAGACTTTGTTCTTTGGCTCATTTTGTGCGTGTTCTGAAGAGTTACCCAAATATGTATCACGATTACACACACACACACACACACACACACTTCACCAATGTTCCCTCTAAACTGAGTTAGTGTGAGCTAGCTCACAGTCTTTTTAGCCTCCAGCTCACACATTTTTGTCTTCGCTCAGGAAGGAGGGCTCCAGAGCAAACTAACTTATGCAGTAGCCAAATCATTTGTTCACAACTTTAATGCCAGTAGTTCACAAAGTAGAATTTTTGCTCTCAAGCAGGGCTATTTTTGGGCAGGAACGCACAGGAACGGAGTTCCGGCTGGCTCCAGTGTTGGCCATGCCCACTACAGCCAAAACCTCTGTGTGCCTGGCTACAGAGGGAAGGCCTGGAGAGGGACCCCCCTGGAAGGATCAGGGAGGCATTTAAATGCCTCCCCGTGCCTCCCCCAGCCTGTCCAAGGGCTGGCTTGCCCAGGCTCCCCCCAGCTGTGGGGCACCCAGGCAAGCCAAGGGAAAGCATGGGGTGTGGCCTAATATGCTAATGATCCATGCTGACATGGGTGTGGCCTAATATGCTAATGAGTTTCTGCTATTGGGTGTGGCCTATTATGCTAATAAGTTCCTGCTGGGCTTTTTCTACAAAAAAAGAGCCCTGCTCTCAAGACTCCACAGCTTAGAAGGAGCACGGCACTTCACAGGAGCAAATGGTGGCTGTGTAGTAATTAGGGGTTGTGACCTTCAGGCGGCAGCTGGAGATTTCCCGGAAGGACAACAGATCTCCAGACCACCGAGATCCATTCACCTCGGAAAAGCCGCGGTTTTGCAGAAAGGGTTCTATGGCTCCTCCCATCTCCAAGCCCCGCCCTCCCCTGGCTCCACCCCCAAAATCTCCAGGAATTTCCCAAGCCAGAACTGGCCACTCTGCTAGTAATTAAGAGAGTGATCTGTGTTCCACAATGTCACGGTGTTGCTGCTTCAGATCTCATCTCTCCCCATGTGGCTTTATGTGCATATATAAGCGCAGCCAACTTCCAGTGACCCCAGCAAAGGGCTTTCCAGGCCTGTGAGAAGCCAAGGTGGTTTGCCATTCCCTTCCTCTGCAGAATCCTTTCCTCTGCAGAGTCTTCCTTGGAGGGGGGTCTCCCACCCACGTACTGGCCCTGCTTAGCTCCAGAGAGCTGACAAAATCGGGCTGTGCCACGCTTCCTTCTTACCTCCATGTAGCTTTCGGCAAGTCAAAAAACTTCAGCTCCATCTGCAGTCTGCAGTGTGGGGACAATACTACTAGCCTAGATAGCCCAGGATAGCCTGATCTTGTCAGATCTCGGAAGCTAAGCAGGGTCTGCCTTGGGGTGTATTTGGAAGGGCGACCTCTAAGGAATACCAGGGTCGTGACGCAGAGGCAGGCAATGGCAAACCACCTCTGAAATGTATCTTGCCTTGAAAATAAGTCTAGCTCACCATCTACTGGTGCATAATGCTAAAAAGAGCTGGAACTCGTGGCTGCCAGACAACCTTAGGAACTCCTGGCTATTCTACACACACTGCCATATGATAATTAATTAATTACTGCTAGCCTATCTTACAGGGCTGTTGCAAGGATAACAATGGTAATACATGCAAAGGGAGAGCAAAATATTATTTTGTGCAGCAGTGGAACTGGCACCTGTTCCAAATGCATCTTGGCAAGTCAATAACATCTGCCAGGAATGCATTTCCTGGTGCCAGAGCGGCTTCAGCTATGTGGAGCAACTTGCTATGCCCATCTGATCATTTTCGCAATTCCAGGGCAGCCTCTTTGTGGCTGATTTCCAGGGTGAACTTTCTTGGACTAGCATGTGGCCAAGTGCAAAGTGATGCACATTGGAGCCAAAAATCCTAACTAAAAATACACATTGATGGGGTCCGAACTGGCAGAGACTGACCAAGAGAGAGATCTTGGAGTCGTAGTCGATAACTCAATGAAAATGTTGAGACAGTGTGTGACTGCAATAAAAAAGGTCAATGCTATGCTGGGGATTATTAGGAAGGATATTGGAAACAGATCAGCCAATAACATAATGCCCCTATATAAATCAATGGTGCGACCTCATTTGGAATACTGTGTGCAATTCTGGTCACCACACCTTAAAAAGGATATTATAGCATTGGAAAAAGTGCAGAAAAGGGCAACTAGAATGATAAAAGGGTTGGAACACATTCCCTGTGAAGAAAGGTT